TCCTTTAAGAATCATGTCTCCATCTTGTTAGCTAGCTGAGGGTGTAATGCTTACCATGTAAGTACACATGTAAGAAGTTGAGGTGTGGGAGCTGGAGAGATGACTGAGCAGTTAAGAACTCTTGCTGCTCCCATAGAAGACCAGGTTCAGTTGCCAGCACCCACATGGCAGCTCACAACCATCTGTAACTCCAGTTCCAGGGGATCCAGTAACCTCTTTTGACTCCTACAAATACCAGACATGCATATGGTGTATATACATACTTACAGGCAGAAAGTAAGAACACAAAAAGGTGGGAGTGGAACATGTACTTGGAATCCACTCTGGGAAAATGGACAACACTAATCACTGGGACTTACTGTCCAGCCAAGCTAGCCTACTTAGTAAGCTACAGGCAAATGAGAAACCCTGTCTCATATAACATGATATACAGTGCTAGCAAAATGACACCCAAAGTTGACCTCTGGCCTTCCGTGCATATATATGTATATATGGACATGAACGTGCAGGCACACACAAAAGACCTTGTGTCCTAAATATTCTTAACTCTTTGGTGCTACATTTTTATTAAACAATAGCTATGTTTATTATTACAGAAAGCCTCCCCCACTTCTTATAGAAAGCAGTTAAGCAGTAAGATTTGTTGATTATCCACTTCACTTTTCTTTTTCTTGACTGTAATGGAAGTTATATATGTTTACATTCATAAAATTTAAAGAACAAAAGTAAAATTTTCAAATTACAATTTAGTCATGATCACTGTAATCACCGTTTATCAGTGTTGCTGTGGGAGACAAGCCTGGTGCTTTAGGAGCCCTGTGAGCCAAAAGCTCTGCTGCTGACAGCACTGTCTACTTGCAGGACATCAGGGCCGTCTGCGGCTGGTCTGGAGACAACCTATACTGGAGGTAATGGCTTCTCCACCTCCTATAACAGCCAGAGGTGGTTAAACCTCTATCTCTCTGCTTGCAAGTTTTTGGATTTGGCTCTGGCATTGCCCTCTGAAAATCTTCCTCAGTTTCAGATGTAAGTAAAAGCAAGAATATTAAGTGGATATTTCTGGAGATAACATTTGCTTTGGTCACTGATGTCCAACACTAAAGTTCTTTGTGTAGATTGAAGTAGTCATAATTTTCTCTAAAACCTTACTGCATTGGAAGGAGTATTGTATTGGAAGTAACTATGCTACCCCATAGCATAGTTACTAGCAGTAAATGGTTGCTGTGGATATATTCCCAGACTACTCACTTAAAAACTAGAGTGCCCTGGATGTGAAGCGGTGGAGTACAGAACCTGAAATTACAAGTTTAGTAGAAGGGACAGAGCTTAGCACTTGCAGAATATTATGATGATGGCATATGCAGAAGTTGCTGTGTGCCATACAGCAGACTGCTGCCAGCTTTGAGGTTCAAGCAGGCCCAGAAAGGAGTTTTAAATGGAGGCAGTTTAGGGTTAGAAAGGCTCACTATGACAACAGAACCAGAGCTGGCCTGTCTGAGGTGTTGAGAAAAGAGGATAGAAAGAAACTCAACTATGTAAAGCATTGTAAGTAAGAGCATCAATGTGACCTAAGATAATGTGAAGCCACTGAAGCATTTCATGGATTAAGTGGTATTATTAGGCTCGCATTTTACAAAGTTTATTTTGGCTTTGTAGTGTGGACAAGTCTCAAGAAAGAAAGCATAATCTTAAAAAAAGGTCAAAAATTTTTATAGGCTCCAAGATAGGTCAAATAGCAATTGTGTCTGCTTTTCTTTTTAGTGCTGTTGCCTTAGTGCTGGGAATGGAGTTCAGGCTCCTTATGCCAGGCAAGCACTCTACCCCTAAGCTGTTGAATCTACGTGACTTTGGTAGTTACTATTTTTTTTTTAAGGAGGAGATTAAGTACACGAATCCGTGCTTTTCTATGCACAAACACTATAGAAGGACATAGTACAAGAGTCTAGCAATATTGATGGTTCCTATAATGGAAAGATCTCCTTTTGATATACTTTACATGTTGCAATAATCACGTTGGACTTTGTTCAAGTACAAACAACTATACAAAAGCAGGTTCCTTTGAGCTTTCTGCCTACCAGTTAGTAGGAGGCTGGAGTAGGAAGAATGCAACCTTGAGGCAGTTACTGAAGCAAACAATCTGAAAAATACTATTAGGTATGGAAAAAACATTTTTCAGTACTGATTTTGCTCATGCATGAACAGTTGCAAGTACTTTAGAAGTTGTCTGAGTACTTAACACTCTGAAATGGTGATTTTTTTTTTTCCTTTAGTTTTCTTGAGACAGAGACAGTTTCTCTGTATAAGCCAGGAACTCACTCTGTAAACCAGGTCTCTAAATCAGAGACCCACCTGCCTCTGCCTAGTGCTGGAATTTAGAGGGTGAGCCACCACCACCCAGCTTGAAATGGTGAACTCTAACCATTACTGGTAACACAAACTCGAGACGAATGACAATGCTCCCAGCTTGATTTAGCTGTCACTTGAGTTCTCATATGTTAGGGCCATGTACTTTGTACTGAATTATGTGGCTTATCTCCAATGGCACAGAGTTTGTCATACTAACATCTACGTCCTTTCACTGGTAGGTACCGATGGGCCTTTATACCCGAAGCCTCAGATGATTCAGGCTTGGAGGTCAGACGGCAGGGCATACATCAGCGAGAATTTAAGCCATACGTGGTTCGACTAGCAAAACTTCTTCGAAAAAGGGCAAAGGTACTAAAGTTTCAGAGGTTCTTAGTGTGTTATTGTGTTTGTGTATCAGTATGTATTCTTTAACTGTGCTGTATTAAATGCTACACTCATGAGTCATATAAGAGAAGAAATCTTTCATAACATTTGAAAACATTGGAACCAGGCCTTGAAAGTGTTCCTGAACATTCCTTATGACAGACCTGAGAGTTGGGTATGTCCAGAGTAGTTAAGTTGACGCCATGATGAAGATGAGATATGTTCTGATAGAACAGTATTAAAGGGGTTTGTAGGACAAATTTGTCAGGTTCATTTCACAAAGAACAGTCAGAAGATGAAAGGATCACACATTTTAAGTTTTAATAAACTTGACAGAAATATCTCAAAACTGAATTAGCTAGATAGACTGCAGTCAGAATAAAGGGTCATAAGCATAGAACCATTCTTTCCCATGGGTCATAAAGTACACATCCTAAACTATGGCTAAGTGGGTATTTTTCACTTTCCTAAATTATAACCTAGAGATAAACCCAATGACCTAACGTAGCAGCACTCTTAGCTGAATCCTGAATCAAAAGATTTTTCCAAAAGTTATTAACCTTTAGTAATAGTTCCTCTTTCTATAGCTCTTGTTATGCCATATCCACCCCACTAACGCTCCCTGCAGTTGTGAAAACACTGCTGAGAAGTCTACTAAAATGTGACTGTGAGAAAGGTAGTAAGGGGACTCAAAAATACAAATGTCTAAGAAACATGTTTTTAAAACCTTTTATTTTATGTGGTGGAAATCAAGGAGAAAATGAGAATTACCAGAAGCCTGTCCTGTAAATAAGGTGTAGGAAGATAAATGCTGTGGTTTTAGAGCATGCCCCATGTCCTTTCTGACTAAGCACCAGACTGACCTGCCAGTCTGCCAGAAGCAGAAAGGTAACGAGATGATTTGTTCATCACTGGACCTTTGCGCATTACATGTCATCTCCTTAGTTCAGAATCTTCCCAGTTCATATTATGGACTGGTCGAGAAGAGTCTGGTCGAGAGGACTCTGCAACCCAGTCTGCATGTGCTCACATATTCTGTCTTTCAGCAGTGAAGCTGTATTTGAGTCTCTACAGAGCACAAGGGAAGAAACTGATTAGAAGCTTTACGTACAGGAAATGAGGAACTTGCTTCCTTAGGAGCCTAATAAAAGGACAAAGTTGTGAACAAAGCCTAATCCGGGGTTTAAGGACAGAACTTTAACTTTTCTATCACAGAACATGGGCGGGAAACCATGAATGCAGATTCAGTGAACACTCATGGGACTCCAGGCCCATGCCATTTGCCATCCACATATCAGTAATAATGGAAATCCTCCTTTGCCCAGAAACTGACCCACAGATAAGACAGCTGTTTACACTGGAAAAAATGTCATCTCATCCAGATCCTTTAAACAAGGCCTTCATGGCCAGATAGACTTCTCACTGGAACAAAGGCTATGAGCTCTCTTTCCTTCCACAGGGCGAGGAGGACTTTAAGATTTTGGAGGGAATGGAGATGGCCAAGCATCAGGTGAGGGTGGCTATTGATGCTTGTGATATGGCAGCGAAAGCTACAAGAGAGGTAAACAGGAAGGAAGCTGCACTCCTTGTGGAGATTTGCGAGGTCAAAGGAGAAAAAAGTTTTCTGGAGATGTTTGGTTATTTAGTATTGAGGACAGGAACCTGAGACCAAATAAATAACTTGGTTAAGTGTTTGGGGCCCGCAAGGGATGCCTCTTTTAAGAAAAAACTCTATAGAAATATTTTTAAAAATTATATGATTATCATATATTTCACAATGAACTATACAAGATGTAAGCAGCATTTACTTCCCTACAGAATAAATTTATCTGTATCCACACTTTGCTTGACATTTAATTGCAGTTTGATTTTTTTTAGAGGACTAGAGGGCTATATGGTAAGCCAGGACTGTCTGATGGCACTTAGTGATATGAAAGTCCCTGTTTATCCTTTAAAATAGATTGGAAGCTAAATCATTGCTAATAAATAAACTAGATGACAACTGAATCCCATTTTTAAATCTTTTCTTGCTTATACATGGCATTTCCTACTGTAACATACCTGTTTTCCTTCAGATTTAAAGCAAACAGTGCTGATGATGTAGCTCAGTGTTCAACTCCTAACACAATAAATAACTAACTTGGGATCACATTAGGAAACTGACAACAAAATATCAGATAAAATCAATTTCTTAGTAACATCCAGATTTAGAAGGGAGAGCACCATTTGTGAATGACATGCTTAATTGTCCTTCCTGTTTTCCTATTTCCATTGTTTTCTCCTTGCACTGTAATATATGTGATTTTGCAAGTGACAGCACCTCCAGTCCCCCAGCCCTTTCTGTGGCAGACAAGTGACAGCACCTCCAGTCCCCCAGCCCTTTCTGTGGCAGACAAGTGACAGCACCTCCAGTCCCCCAGCCCTTTCTGTGGCAGACTACTCGTAGCTGTTGGGGTCACTTAGCTGAGTTCGTGAAGGAGCCAAGAAACAGATATTTATTGCATTTTTTGAGACAAAATCTTGTATCTTGAACTCAGTCCTCCCAAGTTGCTATGATTATTATTATGTGTTGCTGCATCCAACATAAGTAGCTCTATGTCTTAATATAAAAAAATTACTGGTGTTGGTATTTAGTGACCAGTTTTTACATACATTCTCATTTGACTTCCTGACTGCAAAAGAAAAATTTGCCACGTCATGAGCAAGAACTCTGTGTGTCTTGCACAAGTATAGCACAGTAAGTAAAAGGCAGAACTGGACTAGCCTGTGTTGTTTCGCTCAAGGTCCAGCTTCCTTCCTGTGTCTAACCCAATCCCTCATTTCACTGTGTATTACCTGTAATTACCTTAAGGCAAATTTAGGCCATAAATTGATTTGATTTATCAACAATAAAGTGTTTGAAAAGCTCTGAATCTGGAAATCCCCAGCTTTTCTATGACTCTTTTTTTAAAAAAATATTTATTTATTTATTTATTTATTATGTATACAATATTCTGCCTGTGTGTATGTCTGCAGCCCAGAAGAGGGAACCAGACCTCATTACAGATGGTTGTGAGCCACCATGTAGTTGCTGGGAATTGAACTCAGGACCTTTGGAAGAGCAGGCAATGCTCTTAACCACTGAGCCATCTCTCCAGCCCCTTCTATGACTCTTTGTCACGGGTCATTTAAACTAAAGTCACCGCCGCAGTCTAGTTGAAAACTACTACGAAAGGGAGCTAAGTGATACCAAACTAGCTAATGGCAACATCGGCAGCAGTGATTTTAATCAAGTCCAGAACAAACATCATGGGTCTCCATTTCTCACATAACCAGTCTTCACTGTTAATGACAACTCTTTTTGTTTCTACAGAAGAACCCAGAGGAAGACAGCTCAGGGAGGACACTGGGCTGGGAGCCGGGGCACTTGTTACTCACCCTCTGCACCATGCGCAGCATGGAGCAGCTTCTGCCCTTCTTCAACGTCCTCAGCCAAGTTTTCAACAGCAAAGTCACAAGCCGGTGCGGAGGACACTCAGGGAGTCCTGTCCTCTACTCAAACTCCTTCCCCAACAAGGACATGAAACTGGAGAACCACAAAGCATTTTCCAGCAAAGCCAGGCAAAAAATTGAAGAGATGATAGAAAAGGATTTTCTGGAAGGAGTCATAAAATCTTGACCACCACCGTGGTTCCCCAGAGATGCAATGGAAATGTAATTATTTAAAACACACTGCTCTGAGTTGTATAGTTTTTCTTTTATATATATATATATATGTATGTAATAAGACCCTCTTCAGGTTGTATTTAATTTAAATATTTGTAAATAAGAGCTTATGTCTAAATGTGGCCTGAATCAAGTTTAACTATAGTTGGCTCATACTGATTATGGTGCCTACGAGAGGTCTATATATGCATATATCGTCCATTGTTCACTGTCTTGGGTTGTCTTGAACCTGCAAAATATACACTAATGTTGTTGGTTTTTTTTAATACTGGTTTCAAGCCTCATTTAATTTAAATTGTTTTATTTTTCTTTCTTCTGCGGTTACCAACATCCTAGTATCAGAATGATCACTTTGCTGTCAGAGACTTCACGTGGAGGGACAGCACATCCCTGCTCTGAGCACTTAAGAGTAGCTGAAGCCTGGACCACACATCCTAGTGAGAGTAGAGCACAGGCCTCTGTCAGTGCAAAGAAAGATGGGCCAACTGCCAGTTCTATGCTGCTATACAAACAAGCCAGGTTATTTCTCACTTTAAAGTCTGCCACTGGTTTATATGAAGTCTCCACTCTCCACATCTGAATCAGATAGGTCAGTGGTTTATTTAGATAAGTAATCACAAAGGCATTGCGAGGAGTTAGTAAATAATACAATTTAATTCCCCAACACCCTGAATACACTGGAAAATTAATGACACTCAGAGGTGAGCTTCATTACCAATTATAAGATTTACCAGCTTCTAAACCGTTTCTTCTGGTAGCGTTTTAAAAAAACAGATCTAAATCCATTAGAGTACTGCCAGTATTGCCAATAGTTTTATAAAAACATTTTAGAAGTCCATTTTTCAAGAATATAAAAATTATCTTCAGAAAGATGGTTGTGGCCTTTCTCCAATGCCTCCAGCCAGCTGAAACACCACCAAACTCACTTCGTCTGCAAGCCTATCGGCATTTTCCTACAAATCACATTAAGAGATTAATGAGAGATATGGCGCCGGCCATCCATCACTGGCTAGTCTAGGGGAGGATGCTTCCTGATTCTGTTTTAGAGTTAATCAAATAACATTTTTCATCTTTCATTAAAAAGTTTCAAAGTCCATAGATAATAGAAAGTAGGTTGGATTCTTCTAAATAAGGTGAGTTTTCGATTCAGTTAATAAAAATTTCCAAAGTGGAGTAAGAAACTAAGCCTCTTTAAAATCAAGATGGTTACCTACTAAGAATAAGTAATTCTTAGGATTTCCGTCAGAGAATACCCATAGTCATGTAAGTAACTGTTGGTGTCTCCTAGTCCCCAGTTCAACCACAGCATGTAAAAAGGGCAAATGATAAAACTGCATAAAATGCAGTAGAGTAAGAATGTCATTAAAAGAAAAATTTAAAAAGCAATTCAAAAGTCCAGAAAGAAAAGCAAGCATTACCTGCGGCTTTGGAAATACTAAAATAAACTCATGGACTACACTTTTAGAGGGAAAAGAATGAATAATCTATAATACGTTAAAATTAGCATGTGTCAGACAAAGGATATATTAAATACTCCTGCACAGGCAGAACATTACACCCTCAAGAATCTGCACTAAAGAACTGTTTGGGAACAAATTCAAGGAGGAACAAATTAAATTGAAACTGTTTAACTATATACCTCCCGGTTTGGTACATTCAATCTTAGTCTCTAAGAAAAATGTATTATTACCAAACACAATCAAACAGTGCTTTCTCCTCCCGTTCCCAGCTTACTTGTGAGTCTGCTTCTGCATATACTCGGACAATGTCTTCTGTACCAGAGGGCCGGACAAAAGCTCGGGCAAGCTTGTACTTCTTCACCAGGTCATTGATTGCTTCTTGGAGTCCTGGCGGAGTGACTGCTTGTCTTTCAGCATCAGTGGTGCTAATAACTCTCCTGTCGGCAACCTGAGCACAAACATTTCCTATCTGTTATAGAAGCTTAACCTGTTCCAAACAGTCCAACCCACAGTAAGAGGTGGCCATTTCAAGTTACTATCCTGCACAGTGTATCAATGACACACAGGGCAGGTGACAGGAACTGCAGTAAAATTTCCTGGTGTATTTAGCTAGAACTGTGTAATAGTTTTAACATTTGTCCAACTATTTAAGTAAAATTCTTCAGAATATAAAAAATTAACTTTAGCCAAGCAGGACATTTACACATTGAGTCAGAGCTACCATTAAAATAGTGGTCAATAACTACTGTCTCACCTCAGTAGTTACTGATCTAATTACTGATATGGCTGTAATCAGTGCCAAGCTATTATATAAGAGAGCTGAGGAAAGAGTCTCCTAAATATGCCAAAAAGCAAATCCAAATACTTGGTGGCCATTTCTGTGAACTCTTACTTGAATATCTCTAATCTCTCAACAATTCTACTGGAGAATATGTAGAGTGATGCAAATCAAACACCCATTCATCTGAAATGCCTTTAGAGAGTTCTCTCTTTGAGGCCACAGGTTCTACTGCTTACATCTAGCTCCAAAAAATACTGTGGTCTGGTGTGGGGGTGAGGTCTGTCATCAGGGAACTTAGCCAGGCGGGTAAGAACTTTGAGGCTTAGTCTCCAAAAAAAGAAAAAAATTTAAGCATTATGGCATTATGTGAACTAAAAGTTAATTCTGAAGCAACAGTTTCAGTTAAAATGATAACATTATCTGTTTGGGTTTTGCTTCACAATAGTATGAGCTGGGCTGTGAAAGCAGAAACCTTTTTAAGCTAGTTAAATAATTTTTATGATTTTGTTGTTCATATTTTTAAATGATGCATATTCACACATAATACCATTCTTTATCACAAAAGTGGAAGTACAGAAGAACTTATTTTTTAAAGTGTGAATAAAGCAGTTTTTGTAAGGCCTTCCTTACTTTATAAGTAGAGTGTGAATACAGACCGAAAAATGTAACCCACTCGGGAAACACTTGGGAAGACTAAAAGAACGCTATAGTCTGAAAGATTGTTTCACGCTCTCTTCACCTTAACTTTGAGTTGTCTGTTAGGAAGATCAACATAAATAGCATCCCACTGCTGCACAGTCAGACCCTTGAGAGCCAGGATAGCCTCAATCACCAGCATGTCAGAAATGGCATCTCCAGCCGCCTGCAAGATTGGGGAAACAGAGCATATAAGCCACCATTACATAATCACACACGGATGCCATCCGTGCAAATGGGCAACCAGAGTGATGCATGTAACCATGACAGACAACAATGACATGGATCCAGAGCTGACTACACCAGCTCCTGAGAAACATCTAGACTGAATAAAGGTTTGGCCCTGACATCTTAGGACTCAAATTCTTTAACTAGATCTCCTTTTAGATAGCATGACAGTGGTATTAATGGAGAAAATAAGCTTGGTTCAGATACACAAAGTCAGAGCCGACTCTAAGCTTCATCTCATAAAATGGAAATTATAACCTTGCTTCCTGCATTACTACTGTGATTAGAAGGAAAAGTGGATAAAATGTCTGACCCATATCAGACGTTCGGACTTCATGTCTCTCCTGGCTTCACTGTTGCTTTTCCATAGCAGTACTGCAGTTTCTGCTGCTGGACTCAAGCATGTAAGTGGGACAGAATTTCCCCAAGGTTGTCTTTGAAAAGTTAGCCAAACACACAAAATACATACTCAGTAGCTACTAAGTATACTTGAACATTTCAACATTTCCCTGACAAAATATCAAGAAAAGGAAGCATATAAAAAATGTTATTTCTAGTGCAAGTCTCAACTGTGGGCAACACTGTTAGAAGCAAACCACCCAGCCAGGACTTCACCTTTTATAATTCTACATCCCATGTTCTGACTGACGTTAAGGTAACT